ACTGACGTCCGAGGCGGTGGTGGAGAAGGGCGAACTAGGTCGGGTGCGGCTTAGCTGCTGCTGCTGCTGCTGCTGGCCTGCAGAGGTGGTGGCCGCCGCAGCATTTCCGGCGTTTCCCGAGTAGGGCCCAATGCCAAAGGAGCTGTCCAGTGAGGAGGAGGAGCGGAATGGCTGAGCGCCGCCGCTTCGATTGCCTTTTCCAGCTGAAAGTAAAGTGAGTGATTAGGAAAACGTTTTAAGTTGATAGGAAGGTAACTGATAAGCTCTAAAGTTCTAATGATAAGCTCTAAAGTTCTAATGATAAGCTTTAATAATAAACTTTAATGGTAAACTCATGTTCATCATCACCATCACTACTATCATTACTACTACTACTACTCACCACTGATCAGGCGCTCCTTGATCAGCCTACGCGTGGCGATGCTCGAGGCGATGGGGTCGTCCTCTATGGGGGCGGCGGGCAGGTTTCGCCTCGGTCCACCTCGCCGACCACCCGTCACCGAGCCACCGTCTCGACCTCCTCCTCCTCCTTTCTCAAAGGTGACGTTCTTCGTGTCCAGGTCGAGGTAGCCGAGCGAGGTGGTCAAGGTGGACTGCACTGGCTTTCCTAGGGTTCCCTGGTCTCCAGTTTTTCTTGGTCCACTTCCGCTTCCACCACCGAGCAGTGAGTAGTAGCCCGGGTAGCTGCTGACAGAGGTGGCGCCAGGCGCTGGTGCACCTCCTGCAGCTGCGGCGGCAGCAGCAGCAGCAGCGGCTTTTCCAATGGCATTCTTCACCATCGAGGTTGAAGTGGACGATGATGTTGCTGATGCAGAAACGGAAGTGGCCGACCCGGCAGACTGCTGCAGAGCAGTTCGACGCGTGAGCAGGGGCGAATTGTTGGCGGAAATGCTACTGACGCCACCTGTTAAACCGGAAACGCCTGTTCCCGTTTTCTGCTGTTGCTGCTGGTGATGGTAGGCGGTGACGCTGGTGGGCATCGAACAGGGCGTGTCGTCCATTGGCTGCGGCAGAGAGCGACGCACGACTGCTGAAGTGGTGTTAGTGGTGGTGGTAGTAGTGGAGGTATGTAAAGAGGACATTCCACCTGAAGTGTAGGCGGAGTTTCGCAGCCTCGCCAGATCGCTCTCCAACTGTGATCGATTGCCAATGCCACTCCCACCAATGCCACTACCCGGTCTACCTCCTCCAATCATCGGCGTCGAGTTGATCGACGACGGGGGCGTCGACGTGGAGACCATCTTGTCTGACTTGAGGACGCCACTCCCACTCCCACCACTTTTACCATAGAGAAGAGGCTGGTCGTGCTCTTGCACCTTTGCACCGTAGAGGGCGGCGCTTCGGGCGCTGCTCTCCGCCTCGGCCAGCTTCGCCGTCGCCTGCGCCATGGACGCCTGCAGCGCCGCCTGCTGCGCCTGCAGCGCCGCCAGCTGAGCCCGTTGCGCCGCCATCAGCTCCGTCTCCGCCTTCTCCGCCACCTCGAGCTGCTTCGCCGAGCGCTCCATCTGCTCGTGCATCACCGCCTGGAGGCGCTGCTGCTCCAGCTGCAGCTGCAGAAACTGCTGCTGCTGCGCAATCAGCACCTGCTGCTGCTTCTGCAGCTGCGCCTCGATGGCGGAGTTGGCCGCCGCGAGGGCCTTTGCCTGGCGGGAGGAAGAGGAGGAGTTCTCCACAGATCCCGTGATGCCGGTAGTGGTGGGCGTCGTTTCCGGTCCGGGCTGCTGTTGGTTCATCGACTGCTGCTGCGAGGAGGAGGAGGAGGAAGATGATAATGATTTGGCTTGAGATAAGGATGAGGATGTGGTGGTGAGAGAGGAAGTTGCCGAAGAAGAGGAGTTTTTCAGCTGCAACTGCCTAGCTAGTGATCCGCCCGCCCGATCGGCTCGAAGCGCCGCCAGCGAGTCCAGCGAGTCCACCTGGCCGGTGGACGCCCGGCGAACTGCCTGAATGTTTCCAGGTGTTTCTTGCTGAAGCAATTGTAGCTGGCGATTTCGAGCGGCGTCCACTGAGGAAGCTCGATTTGAGGCTGCAGCTGTTGAAGTTGTTGCTGAGGATGCGGAAACCGCAGCTGCAGCTGCTGCCGCCGCTGCTCGATTCTGCCGTATGGTGGACTCCATCAGGTCGGGATTGTGACTGAGATCCAGCGTCTCAATGGCTCGATTGAAGTCGTCCATCATGGCGCTGATTGTACCGCTAGTCGCCCGCGGAATGCCCAGCCCAGTCAGACCGATGTTGCTGCTGTTGTTTAGACCTCGAGCGCTCTCCTGTTTAAAATAAATTCAGTTAGTTTTAAAAAGCTAAAAGGGAAGACAGATATTTTACACAGTTATGTATTTTCTTCTTGACAAGTTTTGCTAACTCCTTTTTGGTATTCTAAATAGTAATAACTAAAAAGTAGTGGTCACCGAACTTACCAAACTTCGACTGCGCCGCTCGAGAAACTCCTGCGCCTCGGCGGCGGCCGCCTCCACGCTGGGCGACACATCGAGAATGGGCGACAGCTCGGTGGCGTGCGCCCAGGCGCTGTTCGAGAACTGCTCCAGCTGACTCTTGCTCAGAAAACCTCCTTGTTGACCTAGAAGTTGCTGCTGGTTTTGCAGTGCTGAAGAACGAACCGAAGGCTGCAAAGATGCCAACTGCGAGCTGATCAGATTTTGAGTCCGCCCAACTGAAGAGGTGGTAACAGTGGGACCGAGGCCGATCATCGCTGCAGAAGTAGTGGTGGTGGTGCTAATAAGAGGGCCAAAAACTCCCGATGAGGGCGTATTTCCCAGTGAACTGCCTGCTGATGATGAGGAAAGTGAGGCGTTGTGGTACGGCAGCTGATTTATCAAGTTGCTGCTGCTGCTGCTGTTTGCTGCCGCTCTGGCAAGCATTAAAGAGTAGGGGTCAAGTGGTTGCTGCTGTTGCTGCTGTTGTTGCTGTTGCTGTTGAAGTTGAGCTGAACTTTGAAGCAGCTGCAGTTGCTGTGCTTCAGTTAGAATCTGCCCCGTCAGCGGGTCAATGAGCACGGTCGTTGCTGATGTTGGCGGTGCTTTTCCGACCCGCTTTTTCAGGGCTTCCTGTTGCTGGGCGGCGTTTAGAAGCAGCTGTTGCAGCTGTTGCTGTTGCTGCTGGAGGAGTTGCTGAAGCTGCTGGTGTTGCGCCGAGCCGGGCTGACTTGCCTGGAGCAGCTGCTGCAGCTGCTGGACGGCGAGCTGCTGCTGGTCGATGGCTGACTGCTGCAATCGAAGTTGCTGCAGTTGCTGCTGCTGCTGCTGCTGGGCAGTCAAACCACTGCTGCCTCCGCCAAGAAGTGCTTGGTTTATCANACCACTTCCGCCGCTGCCGCCAAGAAGTGCTTGGTTTATCAGCGCCTGGTTAGCAGTGGCAGTGGCACCAGTTTGACTCAGGCCGCTTTGAGTTTGCTGCTGCTGCTGCTGCTTCAGAGCTGCTAAGGTCGCGGCTGTGGTTTGACTTGTCGATCTTTGGTTTGTTGTCGTGCCTCCGGCAGCCTGCAACGCCAGCAACGCCTGCTGCTGTTCCAAAGTTTGTTGAAGTTGCTGCTGCTGCTGAAGGTTCTGCTGAGCTTGAACATTTTGGCCTAGGCTCAGTCCGCCTAATTGTGAGGTGGTGGTAGTGGTGTTGGTGGTGGTACCACCAAACTGAGGCTGACTTGCGGC